AAAATAAATAGTTAGGTATTATTATTATTTATTTATTTATTTATTTACTTGTTTTCCTTGCAGAGGAGATCAGTCCTGCACTTACACCTGCTACATTCAACCGTCACTTTAATGACACTCATTTGAATTGTTCCAACTCCTTCACTTAGTTTAATGTCCACTAGTCTCAGCTCTGTACCTCTCTTCACTGGTGAGACATATTTCATATTAGTAGTAGCTACATCATCATCATCATCATCGCTTGCTGTCGCTGAATCATTGTCTTCGTCTTTGATATTGATTTTAGAGGAAAAGTCCTCTAAAAATGACTATTAACAAGAAAGTATATGCATGTAAATGAGTACTTAAAAGTAATACAGGATATTTTGTCAAAATGGCCAAATAAGATTTCTCCATTTTTATATTTTTTCCTAATACATATACCCGTTTCTATGTTGCGTATCATGTTTGAGCTAATTTCGATCGAATTTAGATTTTTTACAAATTTTTAAAGTTACTCCAAAATTGGGCCAAAGTCCCTGTACTATAGTACAGTGACTTTGGCCAAATTTCGTCAAAATTTTAAAGTTGAGAATTCTCTATTTTTATAATTTTTTCAGATGCATATGCATCTTTTGATGTTGTGTATAAAGTTTGAGCTGATTCCGATCAAAATTGGATTTGTTACAAATTTTTGAAGTTACTTTATTTCTTTAACGGTAGCTCCGTTAGTACAGAAATAGTTACAAGTTATGATTATTCAAAAACATCATATTCATCATTACAGTCTTACTGTTTGAGGTATCAGTCTCATTGCATTATTGTCCAGCCAGTGAAGTATTGGCCTAAGCATTAACTCATGCTGTCCTGATCTCCTGTTAGCCAGCTGGTGATCCTCCATCCTTCCCTCCAATTTATTATTAACAGAATCAATACAGTCAATGGATAGGACACCAGTATTGACCACTTCAAGCTTACATGGCTATAAAAGAATGAAAATATATATTTTACTTCTTTTATTTGTATCTACACTTACTTTACATGGATATTCTGATGGAAATGTAATTTTGATGTCAAAAGAAGGATACTTATTCTCAATCTAAAAATTAGAAAAATTGAATTAAATTAAACCAAAAGTACAGTGTGTGTTCACATTATAATCTCTTACCCATTCAGGATCGGTTGGGCTGAATTTGATAACATATGCACAACTATCAGGGCTCTTCTCCACCAGCTGGTGCTGGTCCCCATAATAACGTTTGGTAAGTTGCTTTATCTCAATATCACGAAGAGATTGAAGAGGAACTGATGAATCCACTGCTCTCTTAGGACGTGGTACAGGAGCTCTAGCAACAGGAGCAGAAACAGGACCAGCCTTCCCTCGACTACCAGTTTTAAAGAATGCATCTAATGTTAACGGCTCGGCCCTTCTCCCTGAGTGGTCTGACTGCCTGTGGTCTTTGGTTCTCTCTACAGGTGGGACAGATGACTGCTGTTGTGTACTAATAGTAGGAGGAGTCTGGTATGAAGGGGCTTTGGTCTTTGATAGAGATGAGGAAATGCTTGGGAAAGACGTTGTATTTAACAAAGTAATTGAATCATCTCTTGAATCATCATCATCAGTCCTACTAGCAGGAGGAGGAGACGTAGGCGGAGTTAAATCATTATCTCTCGGAGGATGAAGGAACTTGCACTGGTCACCATAGCGACAGTTTGAGGCCAGGAAATGTCGGCAGACTTGTTTAGTGGGTTGAGGGTGTCGGTAGCGGCAACGACTACCATAGGAACAAGATCCTTTATTGACGTACTCTCTGCATAATGAAGGAACACGCTTATTATTACCGGTTCTTGAAGAGGATATGGTTTTAGTTCCTTTTTTATTATTAGAAGCACCTTTTTGCTTGCTTTCTTTATTAATTTACCACTACTGAGAGTCTTCTCCTGCATCACCATGGTGAAGAACTACTCATAATATGAATACAAAGAACCTCTTGAGTTGAGAGTGAGGATCGGCGGGTCCATTATGAAGATGTTTGAGAGGAAACCTTACTTATTTTTTATTGGTGTAATGGAGCCATGCTTCGTCCTTGCTCCACAGCCTCCGGGCAATTCGGGGGCATGGCCGGGGGATCTCCTTT